CAAGGTGTTTTGAATGTTTTTATAATTAGTTTGATTAGAACTACTGTAAAATACTTTATTTTTATAGTTGGAATTAATTTTCGCTGAAAAGACTTCTTTGGTGTTTTGTATGGAATTTATTTTCACTGATTTCTGACGAGTTGAATGTAAAATATAGGAAAAAAGGTATATTTGCTGGATTCGGTCTCCGTGCATCCGGGTCATATCTCAGAATCCCTTGGACCGATTCCGTTCATTCTTTGCATGTGCCTAGTACTTTATGTGGAACATATGCACATGCAGTGGTTTCGATTCAAAATGGCCGACTGGCAGCCATCTTGTGTTTTGAAAATGTTGTATTTTGGACCTGCTTTGTCAGTTTTCATTCAAACTTGGTACATAGATTATACATGTTAGGATACATGTTCCCGACCGTGTGTCCATGCGTCAGTCTGTCCAGAGTCATGTTTCAGAATCCTGTGGACCGATTCTGTTCATTCTTTGCATGTGCCTAGTACCTTATGTGTCCCACATATGTCCCATATGCACATGCCTTGTCATTCAAACTTGGTACATAGATTATACATGTTAGGATACATGTCCATGACAATTTATTTTGCAATTGGATCACAGCTGGTCGACTGGCAGGCATCTTGTTTTGTTTTTTTATGCGGTATCTTGGACGTGCTTTGTCAGTTTTCATTCAAATTTGGCACATACATGTACTTTATACATGTTAGGATGCATGTCCATGACAATTTGTTTCAAAATCTGGTCAAGGATGGCCGATTGACAGCCATTAGACTTTTTGGCCTCACTACTATATTTCCACAATTTATGTACCATTTTCATTTGTATTTGGCACATACATCATACATATCAGTGTGTTTCATAATCAGATCAAAGATGGCCGAATAACAGCTGTTTTTATTTTTGGCCATATTACTACTACATGAAACACGTGTTTTGATGTAAATAAACAATCTGTTGTATACGCCACTTGAAACTCAAGTTTCAAGCACACGCTTGCGACAACCCCTCCGCTTTAATATGACAAGCACAAAGAGAACTTTAACAAATTTAACGGGGACTGTGTCATTTTCAATGACTTGTTTTCACTGAATCATTCTTCAGCAAAAATGAATTCCAAGCGAAAATAAAGTGTTTTACAGTAACTAATACATTAATGTTTTTCAGAAAACTGAACTGCAACGTGAATATGAACTTGAAATGAGACACCAGTTGATGAGACAAGCGGCTGCTCACAGTGATCACATTAATGACGTCCTCAGAGTACAATCTAAAGAATTGGAACAACAATTTGACAAGAAAATGGAAGAAAGAGTTAACGATGAACGTGAGAAATATCAGGTTGAGTTACATGGTGCATTGGCAAGGCTACGTGGTGTGGAATCAGCAATTGAAGGTATGGCAATCGCTGATTCAGTGTCATGACATGACATATCAAGAATGATTTACAAAATTACTATTTAATAGCTCCAAATGCCTGCTCTCTAGAAAACCTGTATTAAGGAACACTGTTTTGTTTTATCAACTTACAAATTTTGCAATAGCCCAGGTATGACATATTTACAAACTCGTATTAATACTTATTTGGTAAAATGTATCAATTTCAGACAGAGCAGATCTAGAGAAACAATCTGAAAATGCTCAAGAACTATGGCTTGCATGTGAGGCACTTCGAAGGACAGTCAAGTATGGTATGAACACTACTTTCTAATGTCTATTTATCTGAAGGGCAGAGCATGTGCATGTTGCGAGTCCCACCCAACAGGAATCTTATTTCCATAGCAACTGATTTTACAGGGTCAATACAGAGAACAGGCACCTGTGCAGTTCTGACGTGTGTTCATTTAACCTATTCACCACCAGACTTTCTCATTCAAATTATTCTGCACTTTTTTCTTATATTATTCAATATTTCTAGAAATGAATCTTAGTTTTGGAGCCAACAGACAATATACAGGAACATTTTGTGAATTTGTGATGAAAGAGGGAACTAGTGGTGAAAAGGTTAAAGCTAATTTGACAAAAATACTCAAATGATTAAATAATGAGAAATGTCAAAGCAAACTTCTTAATTTATCTTCTTAGGTGAGAAGGGAAGCGATGTCCTGACTCCACTTGATAATGAGGTCGCAGCTATAAAAGAGGCTGGCAGCTCAATACCAGTTGTCCATGGTATACTAGAAGCAATCCCAGAAGATGCCTTAACAAGGGGAGTGTTTACAGAAGAAAGTCTAATTGCTAGGTGGAAACATGTC